CCGCCACCGCCACCGCCACCTCCGCCGCCACCACCTCCGCCACTACTGCGCCCACCGTCGTACGGAAACGACGCATGCATATTTGTCTGAAATTAAATATCAAAAGAAATATTACTTCACATACATATTGACAAATAATAGGAAAAAGTGCTTGCAAATAAAAATTATAATTGGCGAAGACAAAGAATAAAATTAGGTCAGATATAGAATTGTTCTATTTTTGAGTTACTTGATACGATCGGCAAAAGTAAATATCGAAGATTTCTACTCGAGTTAATTGCGAAATTACTCAACTATGAAAGAATCTCTCAATGGAAATAATCGTGGTATAGCTAATTATATACTTTGTTAGTAAGTCTCCGCACGTTGCCATGAATACATTTATTTAGAAACACGTGCAGTGTACATTCTATGCGTATTGTCAACGTTAGTACAACGTATCTTTTAGGTTACGATATATCAGGAATCTAATGTAGCCTGCTTACTCTGCAACAAACAACACGTATTCCTTTTATGTCACGATTGCTGATGTTCCCATAACAATCTCTTACTATTACTATTAAGTCTTAGATTCCTAGATTCTCTATATAACTTCTTCTCAAAATAATGAGTACTTCTAAACGTCAAATTGAAATAAGACTCAGCTCTCGTACCTTTAGACCAAGTCTCGATGATTCGACGAGTAACTCATGATATAATCGCATAGAAGCACGTAATGCAATAATGTTAGTCGAATCTTGATTCGCGCAACTTTTTGTTTCCTCTTCGTGAGGAATCGTTATACAGAAACTCTTCGGAGAATTTATAAAAATCAACTTGCGTGTGGTGAATTCGCGTGCGATTTTCGTGGAACGAGTTGCATTCAGCAGTATCAAGATTAACCATAAATCCATCCGGTGACATCGGGTTAATTTAATCAAAGTATAAATAAAATTTCAACAGGTCTGATAATTCACCGAGGCGAACGTCCAATATTAAGACCAATTAAAAGCTGAGTAAATCCGGTATCGATTACGTAAATTACTCGGCAGCGCACTTTTAAGCGATATCACTCGTTCGACGAACCGGAGAAAAATTAAATTTATAAATCGCAATACCGACGGCATGTTTTCAAAAGCGTATACAGTAAGAAGAAACAGTGTGGAGGTTGTAAACGATAACCATACCTGTTCATAAATATTTGTTTATTATCAGAGATCACATTTATTATTATCATTCAGTACACGCGTAGTTATATCATTGCCTACATAAATTATTATAATCAGTATTATAATAGGATGAGTAGATTAAAATTCAAAAGCGATGGAGCTTGATGTTTACGATCGTCGATTTTATACGGTAACCAAATATTATTTTTCAATGTTCACGCTTTGGCTAAGTATGCGTGATTACTCCTCCGTGAGATCCATGTAACTCTTTATTAATTGTTACTACCGAAAACGAATTGCATATTTTGATTAACGTTCGCGTACTTACAGGCGCGAAGTTGAAGTTTGTCTCTTATGTAAGAAACTATACGTACGTACTTACAGAGAAATATAGAGGGGAAAAAACGAAGACAATCTTCCAAGAATTGAAATACAAGGTAGATATATGTTCGGAATCTTAATCACATATAGCGAGAAAAACCAGAGATTTTATCTAGACTGCAAGTCGGCCGTGTCACAAATACGGTTGTATTACGAGCCCTTACCATTATTGTCATACATCTTTTCTATGCGATCCACGCGATTCTCGCATCGAGAAGAAATCTCTGCGCACGTTTCTCCGATTTCTTTTCCAGATTGTTGGTTCTATTGTAATCGTTTTCTCCGTTACGACTATTCTAGATCGTTGCGATACGTTCGCTTTTAAATAGCGAATGGAATAGCGAATATGAAGCTTCGGTATACTAAGTATTTGATCTAGTGAACAAAGTCAAACAGTTCTAATGGTTTGAGATGTAATGGTGAGAAAACATGAGACGAAAGTAGCTAATACAAAGCCCAAAACGTAAAGCGATAATTTTATATTTACCAATGTAAGAGCAGGTACTACTTTCTCTTTGTGACTTTTTTTTGTTTCTTAGATACCCATTAATTATTGCTTCTTTCCGAGTAAAATGTTAGTCATCGTTTTACGACTGCGTAATTACAATCCTTTTCGGTAAAACAATTAAAATCTACTTTCGATGATACAGTCGTATATATGCTAATAAGTTCATAGTCCTATATATATTATACCTTAATGAATTTTAGATGAGTTTCATATCTTACCAAGTAAAAGTATTAGAAAGTCATTAAATAGGACTAACAAAGTATTATTTAAGTAATTTTAAACTATTTTTAAACCGTCGAATAAAATACACGAAATAAATGAATTCGATGACATTCAAGAATGTTCGCATACGAAGATTTTTATCTAGAAAGTAAAAACGATTATAGCCACTATACTAATGCAAATCACCCTACAATTTCTCACATCTAATTAACTACTTACAACATTCTTCATCACCCACCGGACACTGACATTAATATTAATACTCGAGAGTGGCAAATTAGCCGTACACCGTCGTCTCATCATGCAAACATGCTATCCCAAAAAGCGCATGTACACCTATAACCTCATTTACATTTCAGCAGGCATAGGTTACCTAGCTCATTTATCAACATGAATGTCATAGCGACGTTGCAGATCCCGATTAGCGAAACTCGATGATGAACTTCGATGTGATCAATAGGTATATGCATTCGATAAACATGAAACTGTTCAGTCTTATGGTATTTAATCTTAAAATCCAAACATTAATCAATACTTTTTTAACATCAACGTTCGTAAAATATTCGACTTTTTCCCAAATAACGTTGCAAATACTATAACTTCTTTAAAATCTCGGAAAATTGTAGGGTCTACGTGAAAGAAGTAGCGACGAAAAAGATATTGAGCGAATCTTCGGAATTGCCTTTCACGATCGCAATGTTAGAAAGCAGAATTTGATAATGTAGATTGATTGCATGAAATTAAATGTTGCATTAACGCAACGGTGCTCCGTAATGGGTTAATAAAAATAATAGAATCCCTTACGTGGTCAAGAATCGATAAAACACAAGCTAGAATTTTGTTAACTATAAAAATTACGACCGTTTTAGGGCTTAGGTCGCGAGTTGTCGTACATCGAAAATCGCACGATTCATCGTGTGCGATGTCCTGACCATTTAGAGCCCGGCTTTCACGCGACCAAAGAAATAGAAACGCGGTGCTAATTAACTCGGCTAAGTGGTCGAGCGCTACCTACCGGTATCTATCGACGGCCCGCGTTAGTTATAAATTGATGTAACCATGCCAGCCGACTAATGAGATGAAATGTGATCGCCTTTCTCTCGTTAAACGCCGCGGTGAGGTGAAGTCACGACGGTCGGCATTCGCGGTATCGATACTGATAAATGGGACCACGCCGCGGATATCACGGCGATCCCTTCTGATCGACGATCTAGCGAGTCTTACCCATATTTCCTCTTGTGTAATTCGACACACATACACACACACACACTTACTTATACGCCTTTACCTTCTCCTTGTTGTCATGTTAATCGAGATTCAGAGTTACGTAACATTTTTGCAGATAATACCTGTTATGCGAGGGAGCAAATATTTGATGTTCGGACCGTTGCAAATTGGTGGTTGATGGAGTTTAAGGAAATGGAGGATGTTGAGGTTTGATTATATTGGCTGATGATTCGACAGAATGTTATATTAGTGATGTAGACGTGTAATGAAATTGTTTGAGTACAAATAAAAAGTATATATTTTCTTTTCTTTGTTCTTTCAGACAATATAAAGATTTATGTTAAAGAAGAAGGTATTTTTATTGATTTAAGAAGAAAGCGAGTACGCATTCGGTATGAAGGAAAGTATGGTGTATCTGTTGCAGAAACTCTTTCGCAATAATATAATCGTAAATTCAATCAAAGAACAAGATAGTTTTAAACAATGCGGATTTTTATTGCAATTGTTTACTTTTTTCAATGCAATTTTTCAATCTCATAAGGTAAATATTCTTGTTAATAAAATGAGAAGAACGTATCTAGATTGTCATCATTGTTCCGTAACAACTCGATATTTAACTCTTCCCCGTGAGAAAGACGTCCCACAATGAGGCAGATTTTCTGAATCGTAAGATCCTTTATCGAAGAGGCTGTCACAAATTGTACTCTCTCGAGCATAAATGTGAGATTGTGAAGGGATTCAGACGAGATACTATAATTCAGTATAAAACGCGTGGGCTACGATGTATAGAGGAAGCACGACGCTGCTCGTTTTCAAGGATAAAACTATTGGAATCGGCCGAACCACTTGCTTGATTATTGGCATTGTCGTCTCTTTTTCGGAAGCGTATCATCATCTGTTCTTTCTTCTTTGTAAAACGTTTCTCGTGAAATAGAACGCACACGATTTTATTTACATCGACTACAAACTTTGGCTTCCATAGTTTTCAAATATGTATTAAACTCTCAGCACTAGTGTAAACATGATCATAAATTGTACGTTCGACACAGATTTTACGATCAATCAATTTACACATACATTTATGCATAAATATATTTACGATGCAGATTGTGATACATATTTATGATACATTTATGGTATCTTAAGACACAAGTAATAATTATTTGAATCGTAATACGTTACATAAGAAAACTACAATTTTTAATTTTTCATCTTTGTCAACAAGATCTCCACCAAAGAAAACAGCTCTATCGATTTTTCTGCTCAACTGTAGACAACGTTATTCATTCGTCTACCTCTCGTTTCCCTTAATCATTTGACTAGAAACTACCGTATCATTGTTGTTCAGTTAGATCGAGTATGACGTAACATTAGTCATCGGCAGATGAAATGGCGTTTATTAATCGTTTTATCCAGTGATCGGTGATTTCCGATTACACGCCGATCCAATGTTACCTTGACGAGTTGGCCCCACGCGTTTATTCCGTACTTGATCCTGTAAATTTTTCACCGTGTCTCCCATGCAACGCAAGTTTCACATGTCACGTAAACGAGAAAGCAAATTAAAACCAAAAGAACAGGGTGGAGAAATCGTTTACCTCTTTTACGCATCTCCGATACAGTCTTAAGGATTGCAGCGCTTGGCATATTTCAGTCAAAGTAAACGCGTCCCTGGCATTCTCCCCGAGGGAATGCCAAAGGTCAGCCGAAAATTTAATAAGTAAATTACTCGAGGGAGGGCAACGAACGCGATGGTTCAAGAGGGTGGCCCATTCCCAAAATATTAGAATGCATCGCAGCTGGAAGAAACCGTAGACGAAGGAAATAACAAAAATATTTCATCCATCCAATTTTTCTAATCGTATATGACTTTGTAACGATATAAATGTATAATTAAGCTTGGAAGTAGGCAATTTATATTCCATGGTAATCTATTTGGGATACAGGAAATGTGATTTAAAGGAACCTTCGCTGAACTTTCACTTTTTTTTACACGCGATAGGATGTAGAACAGTTTCCAATTTTTTTTTTCTATCGCAAGATTAATAACTTTTGAATTACAGTAATTAAGACAATGACGAAGGAATCGTTAATTTTTTAGATTTGATAATCTAGTCCATATATAATTACGTGCTTTCGAACCCTCAAAGTGGTTTCGAACGGCGTGTCCCCTTAAAGCTGTCGAAGCATAATCTCGCATCGTTGTCGTTCTCGATGCTCGTGGCAGAGATACCGAACCGAAAACTCTAAGGGTGACGCGAGTCGACGCATAGTCATCGCGGCAAGTTCCCTAACTACGATCAACTATGCAAGACGCCGTTACTGCGTATAGTTTGGGAAAGGAGTTTGAGACTTTGTGCCCCGTCTACAACTATCTTCTCTCCTAGCAGACCTAAAGTCTTCTGGAACCATGGTAATCGCGTAACTTTACGAAAATTTCGCTATGCCTGCTTTAAGATTTTATCATCCTTGAAATAAGGCTTTCAATTAATCATTCGTAATTGATGTCTTTAATGGTAAATTCATTATCATCGGTGAAGATTTACTTTCTATTGTCCAGAAGAAAACAAAATTTACAGTAACATGTAGGATAAATAGTGAAAGTGAGCGATAAAAGTTTATCGAAGGATGTGCTCAATACTTTATTATGCTCGCGAATCGCGAGATTGAATCGATGTTAGGTTTCATTGAGAACAAGATCGGCCACCCTCCTTTGAAGAATGCGCTTTAGGCAAACCAAGATAGGCTACAAGGGGTTGTGCTGCTCGAAATAATCGATATTTCAATCTCGTAGGTCGGCAAAATATTTTAAAGCCGACTTTCTAGTGGAATATTCTACATATTTACAAATATCAATATGAAACGAATTTGCTTTGTAACATTCCATAAAAATTAAATAATATGTTATTCTGCATTTTCGTATTGTACATAATCCATTCTTTCATAATTCGTTATTTTCAGCAAATTGTACCAATTTGACTTGTATAATAAACATCGATGATAAAAAATAAATCATGATTATGAAGTTGCTGTTAACAAAATGAAATTAACGAGTCCGTGCATTTGTAATAGCTTTACTAAATAAATTTCAATCCGAACGTAATTGTGAATTCCTAACGTCTTCTTCACCAATATCAAAGTACATTTTTGCCCGTGTTTTACTCGTTTTACGAGACGTAAAATAAATAATTTTCGATACAGAATTTCAGGTTCGCAATACGAGACTGCATATGGCGCAGACAGATGCGTTAAACCGAACCCGCTTTTCTGTTCTTCTGGCCAGTTTCGATCTGTGCGAAACTAAACGTATTCTTCGGCCGCGTGTCGAATTTCGTCGAACCTGGTCTTTTTTGCGCGAACGTCACACGACACCTATGGAAACCGCCCAAAACATAATCCACAGCGTGGTTTACGCGCGTCCCCCCGCTGTAATTAGGGTGATACTTTCATAAAAGCTATTGGGGTAAGGTGTACCGCAAATACTATTATCGTGAGTATTATTAGAGGTCTGAAGTTGCCCCTAAATACGTGGTAGTACGGTGTTCCGTTACTATGAGCAAAGGCGCGTTATACTCCGCGTGAATTTGTTTGGGAATCTAGATCCTTCAAATAATACACTTGCTTTTAATGATTAAATCAAGCTTGTAAATCACAATCTGAATCAAGCCTTAGATAATTATCGATTACAATAAAAATATATTCTATTATTGAATATCTCGCAAGAAGATACAAAAAATAATATGTGATATGTCGTGCACGTTTTGATTTGTAATTCTGACAAACGTGTTACAAACACGAACTACTTATCCTAACTAAAAAAAAAAGAAAAAATAATTAACAATTTCTAAACGCTTCACAAACTTGATCTTAACAGAACTCATAAGCAAGATCATCATCTCACAACATTTCAATTGCAGAGTCTTCCTCCTTTAACCCATCCGTAAACCCGTCGAACTATCGGTAGACAGTCAATGCTTCTCCAAATACAGCCGAGGGAATAAATTTTCTACTTTACGGAAATAGACCGCGTCTACCCAGGAAGACCGCGACTATGCCACAACTAAGCCACACTCGTCCACGTACTTACGATTCCCGCTAGAACAAACAATACTCTCGCACTTCTTTAAACAAAAAGCCCGCTGCGGGCATACTTAACATGGAGCTGTTCTCTGCGTATTCAACGTGCGACGGTTAGACGGTGAAGCGGAGAGAGACGATTGAAAACAGGCAAGAAACCACACGATCCATCCGTAAACCAGAAAAATCCAACTAATCGGGAACAAAACGTTACGTTGATCCTCGACTTCCTGCTGGCCGGTTCTTCTGACTAGCCGAGAGTCGATCGTTTCTTTCGAGTTACGTTAATACCTGACCAGGCTATCCCACCCATCGGAGCGAGGACAGGCACGCAGAACCGTGGCAAATGCAAATGTCGCGCGTCTCGACTCCTCGCGTGCTCTTCGTGGGATCAACGATCGTAATCACCGATGTCACGGGCCGACTTATTGGTCGCGATACGTCTAATAGATCGATAGCCGGCCATTATTACGCATCCCCCTGCTGTTCAACCGCCAGCGGCCCATCCTACAAATAACACGCCGCGTACCTTTTCTAATGAGCCAGCCGGACGTGCACGTGACCGGATCTTCGCGCGCTTCGATTTTACGCGCAAACCCCCAGGATGATCTTGACGACCAAACGACCGTGTTTCCGCGAGAACACGAACGCGTTTCAGAATCATCGTTTATCGGTTTACTTCGAAATAGATTTTGTTTTATCGATGATTAGTGTACTATTGTTTCGGCAATTATTACAGTTAATAAGTGGTGTTTAATTTGATGCAGGGTATGGTTACATTGGGTCTTGGAACTTCTGTTTCCATTATATTTGTCCTATTCTTATTTGTATATAGTGGAAATCCATTTATATGGACTTGTTAGCAGACAGATATGTAATTTATGTAATAGAAGTTTCTACGTCTTATGATTTTTCATCCATACATTGTAGTAGGAATTCACGTTCAGACAAATAGATTCAACCAGCAAGAATTCATTTAATCAAACACTAACTATAATTTCGTTCGTATAAGTGAAACTCATATAAACGGTGTTTTTGTTGTTATAGAATGTGAGAAGCAATAGGCAAGTTTTGAAAGTTTATATAGTAAAACACTAGCACCTAAAAAATCTGTAGTATATTTAATTAACGAAGATAATGTTTATGAATATTTACTCGATACACACTGAGATAAATCGCTAAATTGAGAAAAATGTTAATTAAATATAAATAATTAATAGACAATTTTAAGATATGCGTAATATCTGGTCGTTTAAGAATTAATGCGAATATTTAATTCCGACGTCGATTTTCTACGATGGTATAAGTCTTTCATTTTTTAATAGGACAAAGATATTAATTACCATAACTATATACGGCAAATGGCATTTACCGTACACCACCATCATAACAAATGCGATGATGGGAAAGCGATAAAGTTTCAGAGTGTATATATGCACATACATTAGTAATCTGTTAATGTAATGTAATTATAGTCTTTACTATAGAAAATAGTTACGCGTGTATTTGAAATAAAATTTTATCTCGCAAACATTTTGAAACACAATAAACTAAAGACAGTTTTTCTCGGTACTCACTACGTATTCTGATACAGTGAATTATTGCAATCATGATTCGATGAGGACGAACGATGAAACATCGCTGCAATTTTCTACCGATCACGCTACGCGATTCAGCATACTTAGATATTCATATTTTAATGATGCAATATACAAGAGCGTGTTATCTTCCTAGTGGAAACATAAATACGTTGAATCGTAAAATATTATTAATGCAAAATTTCAACAATGTTATATCTATCGTTTGCACACGATGCGAGATTGGACCTAATCTTACGATCTAACTTAATTTTTATTTCGTTCTGGAGATGCTTCGTATTTCTTTCACGTTATAAACGTCTTAAAATCGATCAAAACACTCCTAATAATAAACAGATTTATACTTGTAAGCTGAACTGATTGACGACTGTGGTTGACTTCAGGGACGAAAGGGTTAAAACCTACTAATAACTCATCGAAGCGATTACTCACCACATGAATGCCCTCTGCGTCCCTCCTGAGATCACCACTCCTCTGGCCAGCCGTGACAGCGGCACTCAAGTGATTATAGTGATGTTGATGCAACGTGTTGAGCGTCTGCGTGTATGGATCGCCGACGAGGTAATCGAGATGTTGTGGCTGGCCAAGACCCGGATGTTGAGGGCTCGCCGGCGCATGATGATGCGAAGGGAACGGGGGTGGAAAGTACGGTGGTTGAAAGTCGGAGGCGGTAGGTAACGATGCGCCCCCGTGATGGGGCATCCCACTGCCGTTTCCATTGCCTCTGTGACCGTGGTGATGAGCGCCGGAATACGGCGAAGAATTTCCACCGCCCAGCGAGGAAATACCCCCGTGACCAGTTAATCGGTCCTGTTCACAGAAAAATTCATTCATTAATATATATATATATATATATATATATAATATATATTCATATATATTCATATATATTCATTTCATTCATTAATATATATATATAATATATATATAACATATATATTATATATATATATTATATATAATTATATATTATACAAGATATGTTAGGTACTTGCTGTCGTAAAAAGTATTTTGGAATATCTTATGGTAGAGCTCAGACATTTTACTCTTTTCGTAGCTTACTCGTACAGTTTTTCTATAATTCATTCAGTTTACGCTGTTATCATTCTCCATCGCACTTTTAAATTTTAATCCCTTGACTAAAAATCCGTTCAAACACCAGCTGCAATTTGTTTGTGGTTAGACGGACTGATTCATGTAGTAGCGCTTAAAGGATTAAAATTTTCTCTCGTGAGCAAGTTCAATTGTTTCCAACAACGTCATATATAGAAGCACATCAAAAGAAAAAGAAACGCAGGGAATAAAAAGTAATAACCATAATAAAAGCGAGCAGAGATACGCGCGTTCTTCGACACACATTCACGTTCGTCGTCGACCGTAACTTTCGCCGCTATTAAAAAATTGCTGGCCACCAGTAATTGCGGTGACTAATGTGCGCTGGTATCGAGAGAGAAGAAAAGAAAAAAAAATCATGTCAGCGGCGTTGGAGGTCTGCCATTACTATAAACGACGGGTATATGGAACAGTGGCGCTTATTTCTCAAAGGTGGTGAACATAAATGCGAATAAATACTATACAAATCTTGTGGCACATAACGTAACGAAAATAACTTAGGGACGGGATATAGGTGCGGTATATATCTTTCTTGAGGAAATCATATGAGAGTTAAACGAGCGACACCGACCACCAAGCTCTCGATAACGCGATAAAGTGTTATTAGGAGTGATAAGCGACCACGAGGAAAACTTGTCGCTTGATCATGAACGTCGCTTCTTTCAGGCACTCATAAATCGATAGCGATTTCCTCCATTCGGTCGTGCAATTTTCGATAATTTATCCTGCATCAAACTATAACGGATGACACGAATAAGAAAGTTTATTTGAAATTCTTTGGACAGTGGCAGGTGAATAAAATGTATCAATTTTTAAAACATGAAAAAGCATGCGACGAGGCCGCTTTTATAAACGTTTCGTAATTCTTCGTGTGTGTGTGTGTGTATGTGTGTGTATGAGGAGTAAGTTCTTAGTTTAATTAAATTAAATTTGTTGTCTTGTACTCTGACATTGCAATTTTCGATGGTCCAATAAGATTAATTACCAAACTAAATGATTAAGATAACTTAACTGGTCAGATAATTTATATTTCTGACGTGACAATTTATTTACCCAGAAACTCCATGCTTTACAATGTAACATCTACGTGTAAAATATACTATGTCATACTTATATCGTAAAGACCTAAATTATAGATCGAGCTAAAATTAATTCGCTTACTTTTTACGTTTTAATTGCGTATCTAAAAACATTTTCGGATAAGAAACAACCTACTTAACATATTCGATAAAAATTCAGTAAAATTGGTTTCTATCGTGCATTTGAATAGTCTTCCTTTCTTATAAAAGTATGCTTCCACTAAAATTAACACGTTCAGAAGAATTACTTCAGAATTTAGAGACAGAAGCTTCCGGTACGTCGTAGAAAAGGATAAAATTACAGTGTTCGAACGTTGTTATAGAAAGTTCATAAATCTTCTATAATCACTTTACATTGGCATTAAGTGGGCTTAGGAATTTTACGAGCAAATAATTATTGTTTGGGACTGATTATCAATTTTCAATTATTTTAGATATAGTCGTTTCCGATATTTTCTTCGAATACATCTTTCTAATTTCTGTTCAACGCTGTTACAAAATTTCGATAAACATCTTCGTGTTAAAAGCTAGGCATATCAGAATCTCTACGAACTATCGACTGCATGAAATATCAGTCACAAATCGCAAGATCATCGAAGCAAATTGCTGAGCTGTGATTAAGCATGTTTCACCTTTGAAAATATAGCGAACTGTATGTACAAATGTACTTTTCTGTCTGCATAATTGGTTGAAACGAAATGAAAGGAAATATTATTATGTGATTATTGATAGACCTAGGATAATCAAAAATATATTTATAGTTTACAAATCAGTAACTAAATATTTTGAAGATTCCACAAGTATTAGCAAACTAAGCGTTTAATAAAAACTCTATTCGCTTATCTTTAAACTAATTTTTTTTTAACATTACGAAATTTCGTCTTTCGCTAGAATATAGGTAATATATTTTCAAAATCAAAACTCAGAATTCGAATCATACGACCGGACAATGCACAAACAGAATCCACGTTCGTTATTTCCAAAATTACGACGCTTTTGCGCGGATTCCAAAATTTTTCGCTCGATGAAAACGGAACCCAATCTGGTCCACGTGATCTTTCGATGGAACGATTACGCGATATTATTCAGGTAGATAGTATCGATCTGTGATGTATCTGAATATCGGCAGAAAGGCTTTCTATAGACATTATACCGGTGCAAGCCATTAGGTTTCTGTTCTGGTGATACGATCTCGAACATCTCTATAAGCAACGAAGGGCCAACGCGTGTACCTTTTTTCCTATTCATACGACGGTCCATTTGGATGTCACTTGTCGATTCTAATTATATAAGGCAATTTAAAAGCGAATGCCACTCGTAAATGAGATGAATTTTACTTAATGGTAGTGTACGTTCATCTACACGATGATTATACGCTATTGATTAGAAACTTTGTGAAGACTTGTTCAGACATAAAGTCGTCAGAAATATATATTAGTATACTCTTAAATAATATTTTGACTTCGAACATTTCAAAGCTATGGTATCACCAAAACAAACCGAAAGGCAACAAGCGGTATAACATTTGATCTCTTCGCTAATTTCATCCCTAAGAACATTTTTCAAGAAAGACTTTCGAACGTTACAGATAAAGTATTTGATAAGCATACTATCCATGCAGGGTGAGGTATGGATCGCGACCCAACAGTAGGAAGAATTCGATTATCGAGAAAACTGTTCGTAACGGAATTTAACGATGGTAGGTCGAAAATTGAGTGGAACGACCCGTTATAAAAGGAAACTCTCACTTGGCCAAATACCATAATCTGGCCTAATCTGCCCGATACCGACGTTTAATGAGACAAAATTCAGCTTTGTCGCTTTCCAAGTCGCTTTCCAAATCGTTATTTCGAAATCTATGGCGGGTAGACAGGGCCTGGGTCATTGCAACAGACCGTTGTACCTCGTTTTATTCCGTACGAAATATTTGTCGTCGTTTAACGAGCCGCGTCGTTACGAACCCGTGCACAAGTACCGTTTCATCTTCGATGCCAAACGGAGCCCCATTAAGGCGTATTTCAATTTGCAATAATGTTTGTTACTCGACCATTATAGGTTTGACTTTCACGTGTCTGGTCCACGTTCCAAACGGACACGCGTCATCAATTTCTTACGTAGTTAAACATCTGATTTGAATATATCGGACAGTTAAATTTTCCCATTTAAATAAGATCATCGAGACAACGTTTCGATTCGTATTGTTGTCGTGAATCCAAGAGGATTATCATCGTTACGGCTTTATATTCGTTGTACATATTTCCATTTCCTTGAGAATTATCTGCGGACAGCGTGTACAACAAACTGTTCGTCGTGCAGGATAGCTTAATCCAAAATTGGATGCGACGTTTCGCGTATTCGGAAAGAATATACGTAAACGCGATCGCACACGGAGAAATGATTTAAAGAAACGTAAAAGTTGCAGTTTGATAGTGAATCGAATTTACAAGCACGGTATTATACAGACATTATACAAGATAGGAGAATCAAATAGGCAAATGCGGGAACCGTTTCTTGTGGAGCAGCGGAAGAGACAGTAATTACAAGGCTAGAAAAATACGACGATACCAATAAATTTTAAAGAAATAGTCGCAACGATAATATTCCAGTTACTGTCTGTTTCCAAGTAATCTCGTGGATTCAACTTCCTCGCTGAATAATTAACTCGAATGCCGGTTATTCGCCGAATCGTGTCCTTTGAAAGCGTAAAAATCATTTTCGTATTGGTTCGATACCGACATAAGGCTGTAGAAGATTGATCGAAGCGAAGAAAGTAATGTAAGAAGTCAGGAACTACATAGATCGTGGCGCAAAAAAAAAGACGACGATCGTTTAATAACAAGCTCGATCAAAACGATCTGACACGATACACGCATAAAATTTCGGCTGGAGAGCAACCTGCAAACGACCGATTCATTTCACAAGACGCATAGCCGAACTTTCCAGCTGAGATCGCTATTGATAAGGTCGGGAGAAATCGTCCTTCTTGCCACATATGACATGTAGACAATTAATAACCAATAAGTCGGCCCCGTGTCGAAATCGACAGATCGTAGATTACGAATAAATAACTAGAAAAGAAATTAACCGTGTTGAACGTTTGTGAGAACTCTCCAACATTTTTTTATTTACTGTATCGTTCTTAACCTTCGATAGCGATAGGTAACCTGAATAATATATATATTATGCAATTATACTATTCCATTGTCACTAATTTAGTTTCATTTTCATTGTCAAAATAATGAAACTGATATTTATGATAATTTCCTTTTTATAAGCCAAAAGAAATTCATTATAGAACGTCAGCACGTTTTATGAAATACTTTGATAGAATTCTAAATGTGAATGAAAAAATTATGTATATTAGAAGATTTAACTAGATAGAAATAGTACCTAATCTTTAACACTTTGATTTTCTGCTACGCCTACTTGTTCGACGATTACGGCAACGAGTATTTTTATTGCGCAGTGAAAGTTTTATTTCTACCAACTGTCATAGGATCACGTATCATGGAGAGTATTAACTTGAAGATCGTAGGCGATAGATATATGGAAAGAGTTTGAGATTCAATTGCTCAAAAGTCTAATACAAGTATCTGTTTTCATTACTAAATTTCACGA